GAGGACAGGGTTCAGAGAGCATCTTTCCCCAAGTCACTGGTCTCCAGAGCCCACAGCTGAATTGCTCGGTTCAAGGAGGAAGTTCAGCATGAATAGTGTCAGCTCTAGGGGGCGGGTAACGGGGTTTTTGGAGGTGGGAGAAGAGTAGCCATGATTCTGGAATAGTGACATTTACTGAGTTCTTACTCCGCACCTGGTGCTGTCCTGGGTGCTTTACGTGGATTAGCTCACTTAATCCTTAAACCCTGTAAGGTAAGTGCTTTTATGATTCCCATTTTATAGAGGAAGCACAGGGACATTGTCGCTTGCCCAAGGTGACAGTAAGTGGAAAAACAGGGAACACCACCCGGGCAGTCTAGCTCCAGAGCTCCCCACCGCGGCGCTCTGTGCCAGCCAGTTCCCAGGAGGGGCTCTGCAGAACGAAGGTGCAGTGCGCCCTCCGGCAGCCTCTGAGCCTCGGGATGGTGAGAGGGTGGAGGGAGCAGCGTTCGGGACCAGGGCCCATGAAGAGGGGGTGGTCCTGCCCGCGGTGGGGACCCTGGTTGCTGATGAGCCCGCCCTATCACCCCATCGCACTCTCTCAGGGCTCCTCTTCTGGCTCCACCCTCTGTTACCTGGTGAGCAGCTCACGTTTGGCCCCCTCGCTCTATGCTCTGAGAGGGCAGAGCGTGCATTTTGCTGTCTCCACCCAGCCCAGGGCCAGGCACAAAGTTGGCACTTGGTACGTATTTATTGAATGAACAGTCGACTAAGCATCAAACCTAGTGTTTTGCCTTAGCAGATAGGCAGTTGTCTAAGAGGATAACTACTTCTCACTTTGCTGGAAGTTTGTGGGACCCAGGAGTGGAGCTGGGTTCCAGAACATTCCCAGAGTGACCAGCTCCACAGAGTGAGCCGGCTTGGGGAGGAGGCTTATCTGTTGTTTGGGGAGCGCCGGGGTTTGGGGCAGTGGGGTCTAACAGGGAAAGCTTTAGGCGACAGGCAAATGAGGTTTTTTATATAGATTCGGCTCCCCCGCCCCCCGCCTTGATTGAGCTGTTTTGGGGGACAGCAGTAGAATTGGAGCTAATTTGCAACATTGACTTCATTTTTTTTTTTCTATGAAAATACTGTTTTTTTCCGATGGCTTTATAGTGAGTATGCTAAATATAATCACACTGTTTAAATGCAATAAGATATTTGTAGAAAGAAATACAGTGATTAATAATATTGCTTTCCAAATTCCTGCAGTAACACTAATCTAGTATTCTGATTCAGATTAAATTTGAGTTTGTGTTAATTTCCTTTTGCAGAAGTAGTAATTATTCACATGTACACAGTTTTCCTTCTAATACATGAAAAGGGGCTTGGTTCCTCGGTTGCAGAGATTGCCCTTTCTGTTACACGGGCAGGCCCTGATCTTCAGCAGAGCCCCGAGCCTGTCATATGCAGCAGTGACTGTCACTTCCCTGGACTTCAGCAACCTGAGTTAATTAAAAGGTTCAGATGAAGTTAATCAAGTTTGGAACTCTAATTTTGTGCAGTGTTTTGATACGATTCGATGAGTCATCTTTTGGCAGAGCAGCTCTCCATTCCTGAAAATGTTTGATCTCAGTGGAACAGTTCTGTCCTGTGGCACTGGGTGCGGGGGTGCTCTTCAGAAACGCGCGGTCAACAGCGATGTGTGCGCGCCTGGCTGTTCAGGAGGGGTGGCGAGCAGAACAAAGGAGAATTTACTAAGCCAGAACTTGTCAGGGGCTAGGGTCAGTTCTGAGGCTGCTGCCTGTCTAGAACATGGGCTTCTTCCCACCCCCTCCGCCCCTGCTCCTGGAGTGCTGACATTTGAAAAAGAGTGAAAAATACAGCTTCTGTTTGCTTTGCTGCAAATAAGTGGCCGGACTGACTGGCCTCCTTCCCGGAGGCCCCGAGAGGACTTCAGATGTGGTCAGCGAGGTATCTGCGTGGTGCCAGCCTGCCGGCCCTCGTCCAGGCAGCCTGCACCAGGAGCAGGCACGGGGCCCAGAGGGACAGCGGTGCCCGCTGCTGCCGCCTGCACACCTCCCCCTAGTGCCACCTTAGTTCTTTCTGAGACAAAACTGGTCTGACTCTGTGAAGACTGATGGGCAGGTTTCCCATGGCCTCCACCTCCACTTCTCACGCACTGAATTAGTAACTTAAAATTAATGGAGCAGTTGAGAGAGGGCAGGGCCCATCTGGAAAAGGCATAAAGATGTGGTCGAATGGGAGTCCTCTGTGTGTGGGGGTGGGGGCGGGGGCCGCGGCAGAGAGCCAGACCATGCGGAATCCTTGGGGCTGCGTTCCGATGGCCCTGCCGCTTCTCCTGGTTTCGATTAGGGTTAAGAAGCACAGCATCTCAATGCCAGAGTTGGCATTTCTGCTCCAGTACTTCTTGGCAGCTACACTGAACGAGCTGTCTCACCTCCCTGAACCTTGGTTTCTCCCCGCATGAGGCCAGGAGAGCAGCAGGGCCCCTGCCGCCCTCACCGGCACTCCCGGGCGAGTGCCGCTGAGCAGGAGTCTGTAGAGCGGTGCCTGGCCCGCGGTGGCACTGCTGCTTTTGCTGTTATTACGGTGGTTTGAGCTTTTCTTCAAGAGCTCGTATTTGGCCAAAAGATGAGAGGCTTTGTGATGAGGGCTGTAAAAATGACTCTCTTCTTCGTCCCGTACGGCAGTCGATGCTTCTGTCCCAGCGACACAGCAGTGAGAGGATCGCACAGGCTGCGTCCGGCCCCCCCCCCCCCCCCCCGACGGCCTGAAATCAAGCAGCCTCTCTCACTTCCCACGTGGCTGCCGCTGGGCCTTGGATCGTGCAGTGCGAGCGGCTGCACTTGGCGTTGCCTCCACCATCTGCTCAGGCAGCACTGACGAGCATTCTGGGTTTGTGGTCGTGTCCTCTTCAGAGCGACTGACGACAGTAGCGCTGACATCCGAGAGTGCGCTCGCAGTAGCCTCTGCTTTGGCTGGGCTAGCAGGTTTCCAGATTCCTTTGTCTTCACAGGATACTGTTGGAAAAGAGGCTTGGTCTAAACAGGGATTAACTGCCTCTCTGAGGCCTCTCATCCACCCTGCCCCCAGGTGCTCCTGGGATTGCCCTTATTTACTCTAAGTTGGAATTCCAGCAACACATCTGCAGAGGTAGAAGTTAAGCTGGGGTGAAGGCGTATTGGTTTAGCAGCAACCAAATGGCCGTTGGCCTTGAGCTAGCTGCCAAGTGGTTGAGTACAGTTGAGGGTTCTAGGAGCTGTTTTCTTGAAAAAGAGGAGTCGTGTTCCCAGATGACAGACAGTGTTCAAGACAGGTGTTCTTGAGTGACACCTGCCTTTTTTCATTTAAGCCTCCAATGTGCCAAGCACTGTACTGGGCATTTGAAAGTTGCCAAGGAAGCAGACTATGGGCCCTTCTCTGACACTGGCACTGAGAAGGCACAGCCCTGGGGCAGGCTGTGTCTCCTTGTACCTTCTGTGGTTTGGGACCTTCTTGGAACGCTTGGTAACCCGTTTATGAACTTCTCTCAAGCTTCACCGGAGCCATCTGTTGTGACTCCTGATTTCCCTGTTCCCTCCCCATGGCCTTCATACATGCAGACGAGCCTGCCCTTGTGCCGAGTGCCTCGGCCTGCCGGGCGCGCAGTGAGCTTTCAGTCTCGCTGGTTGGATGAATGAATTGGTACTGTTTCTTGGAGAGTGGTTCTCAGCCCAGGCTGCTCGTCCCCAAAGCCATTTGTAAGTCTTAAGAAAACAAGTAGAAATAAGCCCTCATTACTTAGTCTGGGGTGGGTTCCAAATGCATTTTTAAAGAGCCTCACAGCAATTGCCTGAGTTTTCGATCCACCTTTATTTTTAGGGAAGAGCCCTATGTACTGATCAAGACTGTAATTTCTTGCCCTGGCTGGTGTGGCTCAGTGGATTGAGTGCCGGCCTGTGAACCAAGGGTCACCAATTTGATTCCTGGTCAGGGTGCATGTCTGGGTTGCTGGCCAGGTCCCTGGTTGGGGGGTGGGCAAGAGGCAACGACACACAGTTTCTCTCCCTCTCTCTAAAAATAAATAAATAAAATCCTGTTTTCCCCCCAAATATAATTTGCTGAGGAAAATCACTTTTTCAGCCAGCAAATAATGATGAGACTTAAATGGACACACTTTGTAAAGTCCCCTTGAAGTATGAAGTGCTATCCCAGAGCACCCAGAGATCCATGTGTCCCTGTCTCCACTGATACACACAGCTTGTGTGATGGGGGAGGGGCAGTGCCCTGCGGGCGGGCTGTCCGCCTGCCTTGAGGGGCACGTGGAGAACAAGAACGCCACCCGCCCAGCACGCCGTGAATGTCGTGGGCAGGGTAGTGGGAGTAGAAGGGGGTTGTGCTGGGTCAGCCTCATCCTCCTCCTGCCTGTGTCTTTTTGGTTGGGCTAAAAATTCAAGCCTTGTTAGGGTCCCATTACACAGTAGTTCTGATTTCCTGCCATCATCTCAACCTTTCTCCGGTTCACAACCAAAATGGAACACTCATTTCTGGAGGTTGACATAATTGTTGTACTAAGGGAGGTTTTGTTTGTAATGATTTGCCTGTCTGATGAGTCTGAGCATTTGGCTGGCCTTTCTGGCCAAAGCCGCCCTTTCAACTGGTGCCTAGAACGCATGCCTCCCGCCCCGACCCCTCTTCTGGCTCACAGTCAGGCCTTTTCCCTCTGCAGGAAGCTTCTCCGCCTCTCCCGAAACACGCACTTCGCTTGGCCTCTCCTGGTGCCTCCCTACGGGTGTCAGATCGCTGGTGTGCTCTCCCAGCGCTCATCACGGGCATTTTAGTTATTTTTGTAATTAGTTAATTGCCTTTCTGAGTGTGTTTGTTGAGTAAATGAAAAGTGTATTGCCTTTCACTTGGCCCACATTTTACGTAATGTCTATAGTTCCTAGAGAATGGAAAAAAAATATTTTTTAATTCTCAACATTGATAAGCACTTACTGTGAAGACTTGCTTTTTCACCTCCCTTTTTCCTTCCTCAGTGCTCCTGAAGTTCCGCACGGATAAGGGAAGAGACCCAGGTTGTGATACCTTTGGGGAAGATTCTGAGCTGTTGCTCCAGATTCGAAACGATGTGCTCGACTCCCTGGGTGTTAATCCTGACCTGCTTCCTGAAGACTTTGTCAGGTTGGTCTCGGCATTTATTGGTTCGGCCTGGATTGATAAATGTCTGCTGCATTTGCCTTCAGCTGGGGAGGTGCTTGTCGAGACCAGGGGCCCCAAGGAGAGCCTTCTGTGCCGTATTCTGCCAGCTCCCATAAACCCCTGCCTCCCCTCGGGGCGGCCACAGCGTGCAAAACAGCGAGGCGCGGGTTCCGTGTGTTCAGTAGGTGTTTTATATTCATGTGATTGAAACTTCAGGGCAGTATGAGTCTGTACTCACTGCTGTGTGCCTGTTTCCCTTTACAGTGCCTTCTGGGGCTGCTTCCGGCCGGGCACATTGTCCTTCCCGGTGTCTCCAGCCCTGGAGTGCTGCAGCTCGGGAGCCTCGGGGTCCCCGACTCCGCCCCTGCGGCCCCGCATCGTGGCCCGGCCTCTGCTCCCACAGCGCGCTGCTGGGGGCAGCCCCGTGTGTGCCGGTGCGGCTGCAGGGCAAACTGCTGGCTGGCCCGGAAAATGGGGTTTATTACTAGGTGGACATTGCCCCGTTGCCGCCCTCAGGTGGCTGACCCGTGTGCCCCCTCAGCAGCAAAGGCAGTCGTGTCTCCAGCCTCCGCTCCCATGGGCGCTTGGGTGCTTTCATCCTACGGCGCCAGTCTTTGCTCTTAGGCACAGTCAGGTTTAGGATTTGATTGGAGAAGTCCAAATGGCGACTAGGTCAGGAGCCCCTTCTGGGCAGGTCTGGGATCGTTGGCTCACTCTCGGTTTCGTTTGTTGTCTTTGGGGACACTTCGTAAATTGCTTCACTGTGCCTCCAGCGTGTAGCAGTGATAATTGTGGCAGTAATTTACTGAGCAGCTACTATGTACATGGTCTCTCTCCTCACAACAGCCCTTTTTATAGGTAAGGACACGGTAAAGCTCAGGAAAGTGAAGTGCCTAATGCAGGATTTACAAAGCTAGTAACAATAGCACCGTATACAGAAGACCATCTCTGCTTTACCACATTTAATTGGCACATCTTCCCTTGATGTGTGGTTACTTTCCCATTATTTAAATGAAGAAACTGAGGCTCTGAAAGGTTTTTCTGTCACTTGCTTGAGATTTTAGTTAAGTAGCCAACCAAGGCCTTGCCCTGTCTCACCGTGCTGATTGCTGGCAGCAGCACACTACCTGGGTCTTCCTCCTAGCGATGAAGTGGATCAGAGTTTCTTCTTCCCGAAGTTGTTTCCAGAGTTGTTTCTTTCTTGTGTCTCAGTACCTTGTCCAGACACTAGTAACACCACCAGATTTAGGACTAGCAAGCAGGAGCCTTTGAACCGCTGGCCAAGTTCTCAGCCACAGAGGCAGCCGTCCACGAGGCGCCTTCCTGAGTTGGCAACGGCAGGTCAGGGGCTAATGGCGCTGCAGGCTGGGACGGGGTCCCTGTCTCATACTCATAGCTGGGCATACATGTCTTGGTGAAGGGTGGACAGAGTGTAGGGAGCAAGTGGTACCTGCGCTGGCTCACGCGGGGCTGCGTTTGCAGCAGACCCAGCCAGGCAGGCCGGGCCGCCAAGCACGCCCAAAGTGCCGACCGTGAGTACGCAGCCAAGTGACTGATTTGTGCATTTAGAGTGATGAGTGTCCTGGCTCTGCGACGCCAGCCAGTGGTGGGGGCCCCGCTTCCCACAAGGAGAAAGTCACCACCAACACTGACAGCCTAATGACTCGCTGCTGGCCGGTCCTCTCTCCCAAGTGCTTTCTGCCCTCGCCCGCCCACTTTACAGATCCCACTTTCCCATATGCAGGTCCTCGTGTGCTCAGGTGCTCCCGCTCTGTCGCCCTCTAAGTAAGAGGGGTTTGGTGGCCTCTTCAAGGCCTGAGATGGGATGGGGACGTCTGGCAGCTGAGCCACCCTCTCACATTACACGCTGCCGGCTCAGAGCTGTGCACAAGCCTCCGTCCCCCTCATCTGCGCGTGGTCTGCTTGCGCTGTCCTTTATGGGACTGTATTTATTCTCTTCTCAGAGAGCTTTATTGCTTTTCTGAGTATGAAAGCAACAGATGCCTGTTGGCAGAGAATGTAGAAGGGAAGAAAAAGGTTGCCCGTGGTCCCAGCATTGAGAAGTGGCCGCGGCTAACATTCTGGGGTTTAGCCTCACAGACTCCTGCATATATTTACCCATATATTTTCTTTTTTTTTAATGTCAAAACGAGATCATACTCTTCATGTAATAGCCTCTTTTCAGCGTGTCATAGACCTATTTGTGTCAAAAATACAGATCCATGTCCTTATCTGACATTTAGTTATTTATTTAACCATCACCTTGTTAATGGGTATTTAAGGCATTTAATGGGTGCAGATCTGCAGTCTGAGATGATGAAAGAGCTCTGGAGCGGGCTCGTTGTGACAACGGCACAGCTGGGCGAGTGTGCGTAATGCCACCGAACTGCACGGTCAGGAGTGGCTAAGGTGGAATATTTTATGTTGTTAGGTTTAACCACAATAAAAATTTTTTTAAACAGTAAAAGTTACATATACAAATTATGAATGTTCGTCATAAACACACAACAGTGGAAAAACTATAAACACTAACTTTCCTTTCTGCCTTCTCCAAGCCCCTGGTAAATTTTGTTTTCTGTCTCTATGAATTTGATTATTCTAGGTATCTTATATAAGTGGAATCATACAATATTTGCTCTTTTGTGAACTTAACTGGGTTTTCAATTACAGAAATAATATATGTTATGGAAAGTACCCAATAGATTCAAAGATGAAGATGAAAATCACTCATAATTCCATTACTCACAGAGAAAATCACTGACCACTTGGTACTGTATCTTCTACATTTTCAGTCATAGCATATGTGAAATCAACAAAATTCTTTGTAGATTTTTTAAAAGATTTTATTTACTTATTTATTTATTTAGAAGGAGAGAAACATCGATTGGTTGCCTCTTGTTTGCCAACCGGGGACCAGACCATCCAACTCAGGCATGTGCCCCAACCAGGAATCAAACCGGCAACCCTTTGCTTTGCAGGACACCCAACTGAGCCATACCAGTTAGGGCCCTTTGTAGATGCTTTTTTTTTTTTTTTAAATACTCATTTATTGTTAGCAAGGGTGGTGAGTAAAGGTGTGACCTTTTAAGGGAGGTCTTTGGAAATATATATCAAGAGTCATTAAAATCACCCTGGCCGGGTAGGTCAGTTGGTTAGAGTATTGCATATTTGGGTTTGGTTTTGTTTTGTTTTTCTTCTGATCCCCGGTCAAGGCACATAACGAAGCAACAAATGAATGCGTATGTAAGTGGAAAAACAAATCGATCGAGCCATCTCTCTCTTTTTTCCTCTTTCTCTAAAATCAATAAAAATACAAAATTTTAAAAAGAGAGTCATTTGCCCTGGCTGGTGTGGCTCAGTGGATTGGTGCCGGCCTGCAAATCAAACGGTCACCCGTTCGATTTCGGGTTGGTGGCATGCGAGAGGCAACCGGTTGATGTATCTTTGGCACATTGACATTTCTCTCCCTCCATTTCTTCCTCCTTTTCCATCTCTAAAAATTAATAAAATCTTTTTTAAAAAAGAGAGAGTCATTAAAATGTTCCCTCTTTGACACAGTAATTCTGCTCCTTGCCAATAAGAATATACCCTAAAGAAATAATGTGAGCAAACATTTATATACAAAAGATAACCATATTAAAAGAAAGAGAAAGTGAAAAGACATTAAAAAGTGAATGATACAGGGCAATGCAATGTTATGTATGGATTTAAAATGATGTTTATCATGGAAAGTGTCAAGCATACAGAAAAGACGGAAAGACTAGTTCGTAGTGGGCACCCATGTACCACTCGGCTAGACCCAGGTGCTGGTACCTTGCTTGCAGTTTCGGGGAGAGGGGCAGGATGCTGACATGAGTCTGTCAGGGCGCTTCAGAGTTTATCCATTGCATTCAGTTCTGTGTCTCTGTTAATCTAGGGCGGTCGTTTTTCTTTCAACCTTCATCTCACGGCACACATAAGTCCTAAAATTTTGTGGCACACCAAAAAACAGACACACATTTTCACTTGGGAGCATTCACTGAACTTCCCTCCATGTGGCTCCAGGCTGCCAGCGCACAGCCTCCGCCAGCGCCCTTCATCTTCTCAGCTCTTCTGCCGAAGGCCTTGGCCTTCACAGGCGGCTTTAGGAACTTTCCCTTCCCCAGAAGTTGGCAGTAGCCCGATTGCACCCCATCAGTGACGGGAGCGATCCAGCCTTGTGTTTGAGCAGCATCCGCCCGTGTCGGCTCACTGACCAAGGGCCACAGTTGATCAGGGTTGACAGTGGGGCAGAAGCTCCGGTTCCTCTTTAAGTGGCAGTGCCTCACACCACCTTTCCCAGAGTGACCTGCGTGATCCTCGTCAGAGTTGATACTGTGAGGATGCAAGCCACCAGCGTTCCCCAGACCTCCCCGGCGCTTCCTGTGCTTGCCAGTGTGGCCATGACCGTGGGTCATGTGGCCCCGAAGTTTCTGGGTCTTCCTCAGTCTGGATGGCGTGTTGGTGGCCGATATGCAAGAGCCAAAAAAAGTATGTATTTTCCTGATCTGACCAAAAAAAAAATAGGTATAATTTTGATTCATTCACCCTGGACAGCTAATTGTGTTGTCTGTTGTCGTTTTTTAATTAATTTGACGGTCAAAAGGAAAAGGTCAGTGCCCCAGACGAAATGGTCAGGGATTGCATGCTTTAAAAATTCTTGTGGTGCACTGATAGAAAGTCGCTGATCTAGGGGTTCATTTGCCACCTGTTTTTGTAAATAAAGTTTCATTCTATACTTACTCATTTATGTATCAGCTGTGACCACTTTTGTAGAGCTAGTACAGCTCTACCAACAGCCTGCGTAAAGTTTAAACAGACCATATGGGATAAAGCAAAACCATTTACTGTCTGATTTTTCACAAAGTTTTCCATCTCTTGATCTCGAACAGTTTCATCTCTTTCCTTCCTTTCTTCTTCTTTTTCTTCCTCTTCTTCTTCTTGTTCTTCTTCTTCTTCCCATTTTCATTACTGAATATCCCATATTCTGTATTTATTTGATTATTTCTAGAGGTAATTCTTGTCTTGTTGTCTTGTAATCTTTATTATTTAGACTTACATACAATAATTCATTTTTGCCTCGTGGTGTATTTTTTAAAAAATTTACATAGAGTAAAATTTATTCATTTTTGTTATACCATTCTTTGAGTTCATGTGTGTTTTGTTTTTATTTTAAAACACATGAAATGGGCGGGGAATGAGACAACTATAATTAAACAACAATTAAAAAAAAACACATAACTTTTTACAATGGCATGTAGTTGTATAACCACCACCACAATCAAGATTTAGAAAAGTTTCATCGCCTTGAAAATTCCCTTGTGCTGCCCTCTTGTACTCTGCCCCTTCCCCAGCTCCAGCGATCTGTTCTCTGGTCTTTAGTTCTGCCTTTTCCAGGCCACCATAGTAACGCAACTATTGAGAGAGGTTGGTTGGTTGTTCTTTTTTTTTAAGATTTTATTTTATTTATTTCTAGAGAGGGGAATGGAGGGAGAAAGAGAGGGAGAGAAATATCAGTGTGTGGTTGCCCCTCACATGCCCTGCATTGGGAACCCGGCCCACACCCAGGCATACATCCCAACTGGGAGTTGAACCGGCGACCCCTGGCTCGCAGGCCAGCGCTCAATCCACTGAGCCACACCAGCCAGGACTCGAGAGAGTTCTTTATATATTCTGGACACAAGTCCGCTATTTGTAAATAACTAGCAAAAATTTTCTCCCATTTTGTGATTTGTCTTTTTTATTTTCTTGATGATGTCCTTTGAAGTACAGTTTTTAATTTTAATGAAATACAATTGATCTACTTTCTTTTCACTTATCCTTATAGTATCACATCCAAGAAATCATTGCCTCTAATCCAAGATCATAAAGATTTATTCCTCTATTTTCTTCTAAGAGTTTTATAGTTTTAGTTTTTATATTTAGGTCTGGTTCTTTTTTCTATTTTCTTTTCTTTCTTTTTTATTCAATTTAATTTATTTATTTTTAGAGAGAGGGGAAAAGAGGGAGAGAGAGAGGAAGAGAAACATCGTTGTATGAGAGATTGGTTGCCTCACACACCCCCAGCTGGGAACCGGACCTGGCCTGTAACCAAGGCATGTGCCCTGACTGTGAATTGAACTGGCGACCTTTCGGTTTCCAGGCCAGCGATCAGTCCACTGCGCTACACCAGCCAGGGCTATGATTCATTTTTTTAGTTAACTTTGGTATAGAATGTGAGGTAGTGGTCTCATTTCATTCTTGCATATGTGGAGACCCAGTTGTCCCCGTACCATTTGTTTAAAAGACTTTTCCATTTCATTGAATGGTGTTGGCACCCTTGTCAAGAATTAATTGACCGTATATGTACTTATTTCTGTATTTCTGGACTACTGATTCTAGTTCATTGCTGTATATGTCTGTCCTTATACCAGTACCACATGGTCTTGATTACTGTAGCTTTGTTAGTAGTAAGTTTTAAAATGGGGGCACATGAGTTCTGCAACCGTGTTCTTTTGCAGGGTTGTTTTGGTTATTCTGGGTCTGTTACAGTCCCATAGGAATGTTAGGGTGGCTTTTTCCATTGTACAAAAAAGGCACCTGGAATTTTGATATAGTGATTTTTGTCATGTATAGATTAATTTGGGGAGTATTGCTGTCTTAACAATATTAAGTCATCTATTGTTAAATGTATTTCTAAATATTTTACTTTGGATGTTATTGGAAGTAGAATTCTTTCTTTCTTTCTTTCTTTCTTTCTTTCTTTCTTTCTTTCTAATTTACAGATTCTAGAGAGAGGGAGGGGAGACAGAGAAAGAAACATTGATTTGTTGTTCCACTTATTTATGCAGTCATTGGTCGATTTTTGTATGTACCCTGACTGGGGATCGAACCTGCAACCTTAACTTACCAGGATGATGCTCTATCCAACTGAGTTACCTGGCCAGGGCCTTAATTTAATTTTTAGGATGTTCATTGCTAATGTATAGAAGTACAGTTGATTTTTGTATGTGAATCTTGTATCCTGCTGAATTAATAGTTCAGATAATTTTTCTGTGAATTCATTAGTATTTGCTATATACTAGATCATGTCACCTCTGAATACGTCTTCCTTTCCTTTAAGGAAGGAAGGAAGGAAAGAAAAAAGTCTCATTTCCTTTTCCTCCCTTAACTGCCCTGGCTGGAACCCTCAGCGCCACGTGCAGTAGCTGTGGTCAGGGCAGACAGACATCCTTGTCTTGCTCCTGATCTTGGAAGGAAAGCTCTCTGCCTTTCACCAGCGTGCGATGTTGGCTGTGGAGTTTTCATAGATACCCTTTATCAGGTTGAAGAAGTTTTCCTCTCTTCCCACTTTGTTGAGTGTTTTTAGCATGAAAACGTGCTAGAGTTTGTCACATGCCTCTTGGGTCTTTTGAGATGATCGTATGTTTATTGTCCTTTACTCAGTTACCGTGGCGTACCCCGTCGTGTTCTCACGTGTTGAACCAGCTTTCCATTCCTGACATAAGTCCCCCCTAATAGTGGTGTACGATCCTTTCTGGGTGTTCCTGGTTTGATTTGCTAGCATTTAGTTAAGAGAATATATTTTTAAGAGGAAAAAAAAGCCAAATATTAAATTGTGTGATATCACAAGAGAATCGGTGTATTTTTTTAATAAAAGGAAAACATCCCACATGTGGTTATCTCTTGAGTAGCAGCATCCTGGGTGATTCGTTTTCCTTGCAAGTCCTCGGTTATGTGGCCCAGTTCTGTGACGGACCCTGACGAACAGGAGAAGAGCCCGCCCCGGCTGGGCGGGTGGGGCGCCGATCCTGCTGCGGCACTTGCATACGCAGCCCGTGGGGCTGGGATGGACACAGCGTTTCTGGAGGGCGGTTTGGCACAATGTATCGGGGCCCAGCGATTCTGTATTTAGGGATTTGCCTGAATTGTTTGGACGGACATCTATGCCAAGATACGTGAGCACAGTGCTGAACTGTAAATATCCACCTTTAGGTGACAGTGCGGAATGAATGATAGTTGATATGACTTGGGTTTGAAATTATGTATGTTTAGATATGTGCACTTTTAAACATGCCTAGAAGGATGAGCACAAAGTGGAAAGGCCAGAGGTAGAGGCTGCACCTCGTCAGTGTCCCAGTTGGCTCATTTAGGGCACACCCCTGAGTTCAGGGCCGGGAACTGCAGAGCACGCTTCCCCTGGGGAGGTGGCGGGAGGGAGTGTTCAGCTTCCCCGGGACGGGTGCTGGAGGAGCCAGGGATGGTGTCAGCCAAAATTTGTCCTCTGGGTGCCCCATCCTGACCCAGAAGATCTGGTGTCCACGTGGGTAGCGAAGATTTTTTCTGCCCCCATACTTTAGTTTCGGGTCCCAAATGTCCCATGCCTGCATGTTAACACAGGCCTTCTCCCTGACACTTGTGTGGGAGAAGCATATAGAACCCACCACCCTTGTGGGTAAGGAGAGAATTGCGGGAATGTGACCGGGGCACTGAAGCATCTGATATTTGTAGGACCTTATTTTTAGGAAGCACAGAGATAGTCTTTCCTTTAACTTAAAAAAAAAAAAAAAAAAAAAGTGTTGTGAAACAATTCCTGCCTGCCAAGGTTCAAAGGTCTTTCCCAGCCACCCACAAACCCCTGGATCAGATTGAACTTCCCCGCCTTGCTGTCTGAATGGCCGCCTCCTGGTAGGAGGTGATGCGTTCAGGCCGCTCGGACCCTTACCGCCGTCCGGGCAGCCTCCCTGCTCCTCAGCGCTTCACCCCCGTGTGCTCTCTTCCAGGTACTGCTTCTCCGAGATGGCCCCAGTGTGCGCTGTGGTCGGAGGGATCTTGGCCCAGGAAATTGTGAAGGTAAACAGTCGCTGTGGAGCAGAAGACAGTTGATCCAACACACACCTTGTAGACGTGCGAGAGCGAGCCCTGGGCTGTCTGACCTCCCGGGTTTGTCTGACCCCGCTCCTCCTCGTGGCGTGCCCGCCCTTTTCCTTCCTTCCCTTTCCCAGCCCGCCCACTGGGCGCTCCGTGAATGGCCTCTGAGGGCCTGCTCCAGGCTGGGCCCCGAGCCGGGCACAGTGCTGTCTGCCCTCCCTTAGCTGAACTGATCAGGTGTCCGGTGCTTACGATATTCGCCAGGTACTGGGCTTCCCGTGGCTCTGTGAGGCGGGTACTGTCATGGCCCCTTCTCATGGGAGGGCACTGCCGAGGCCCTGAGAGGGGCTCCCAGATCTGCGCTCCCCCTGTGTCCGTCACGGGGGTTGTTACAGAGGAGGAGGGGAGTCAGCGCCCGGGGCCTGTGCCAGCGGCTCTGCAGGGCGGCTGCCGCGTGTCAGGTAGGCATCGTCGGCGCTCTCAGCAGGGAGGTATCTTACCTGGGGTCACATAACCTGCCACTGGCACAGCATTTTGAATTTCTTCTAGAGACCATTTGGGGTTGCTAAAACTATAGCATGCCCTCACAGAAATTTTACATCCTTTGGGGACTTTGATAGTTGCCTAAAGGTGTTAAATTTACCTTCGCCAGGTTCTACATGCTTTAGCGGACTTGGCGGTGGTGGTTTGTTGTTTCCTTCCGTGGGCAGGTGTGCCTGGTTAGGTGAAGGAGTGCAGTGGTGGAAGGAGCATGAAGTGGGGACGGGAACGTGCACATCCTTGTAGCCCAACAGCAGTGACAACAGTAATAGAGAACATGTATTGAAAGTCCACCACGTACCACGCAGACTGTTCCTTGCATGGATGAACTCACTTATCCTCACAACAGCCCTGTGAGGTGGGAAGTGTCGTGATCCCTGCAGTGTAACATGGGAGCAAGGTGCCGGGAAGTGGAGGAGCCAGGGTTCGAGCCAGGCAGCCTGGCTCCTGGGCCTGTGCGCTTCCCCGCCGGGGGTGGCGTGCCTCAGGCGGTGTGCGAGGCCTGCGCAGACCCCCAGGCTCCCTTCTGTACTTCCCGCTGAGAAGGCGCTCCCTGGGTTTTGCACGCGGCCTTGACCCCATTGTTTGCAGCGGCTTCTCTGCACCCCGTCCTAACCTCCGGTGCAGCCCCCTCCTCCCGGCCTGCTGGGGACAGCTGTTGCCCAGCATCTTGTTTCTGTTTGTGCCAGATAGCCAGAGCGCTCCACATTCTTGGTTGCTGGGCGTGTCTGGAATCTCCTCCTGCCCCCATCTGGTTTGGGAAGCACTTTACCTTTTGCCCCACGTTCACCCCGTGCCCTGCCGCCTTGTCCCCACCACTCCCGGACACACACACTTAACACTGCCCCCGCCGCAGTCAGCTGGCGGTAGGGCCCAGCAGTCTGAGGGCCACACGCCTCCGCCTCTGCCGAGAGGCCGTCTGACCACCCCAGACGGAAACGTTAGGAGGTGGAGGCTACGGGTAAAAGTCTGTTGCCTTGGAGTCATCTTGGTTTCCTTCCGTCCTCACATCGCTGCAGACTCCGTGTGTTCTGTCCACGTCCCGCTATGTCATGCTTCCTAGGCAGAAGCCATCCTTCCTTTCCCCACTTTCCACAGCAGGTCCCCTTTGTGCAGTGCTGCAGGCGATAGTGACAGCAGTGGCCGTCCCAGGCTCCATGTTAGGTCGCATTGTATCGTCTCCTATAAATTGGCGTCATTCCAGGCTCTTGGGCCCTTCCACCTGGCTGAGTGCTTGGGGTCCTCAGATCTTGGTCAGGGACCCCTGGGCCCGATAGCAATAGCAGCTCCCACGCACTGGGAATTTGCTCTGTGCCAGGCACATGACGGGACTGACTGCACTTTGTTCTCACTAGAAACTCTAGCAGGCAGGGGCTGTTGATTTGCCTTTCATACGTGCTAGGGGCAGCCCTCTGTCAGATCCAAGCGCCCCTTTCAGTGCCTAGCACTATGTCTGACACTGAGTGGATGCTCAGCACATCTCTTTGGACAAATGGCTGAATAACCACTTGGAGCAGGTATGATTGTCCCCATTGTACAGCTGCAGAAACAGATTGGGACTGGAACTCAGCTCAAGGATACATTCAGGATGTTTAGAATCATCTCTGACTTTGTGCACGAGGTCCTACCTGATGAGTGACAGCACAGTGACCTGGGAGCACTGCCTAGAAGCACGTGTGGGTGGCGTCCTCTTCCAAGGGTCACCCTGCTTGGGTTCAGAACCTCCTAGAAAAGGCAGACATGCATGAACCCAGCACGCACGTGCACACATGAATCAGCATGTGACTTCAGGCTGTCTGACCTGCCCTAAAAGTGCCATGTCCTTCTCTTAGCCCCACACAACAGTCGCCATGCCCGTGGCCAAGGAGCGGCCCCAGGCAGGCGGCCCAGCCCCTCCTGGAGGAGCGGCCTTGCGCGATGCGCGTCCCCTTGGGTCAAGAAGACTGCCGCTAGGCTGCGTTGGAGTGAATCACTGCCTTTCTCAGTCAGAGTCATAAGTAATTATCTCTGTCGTTTGCCAGGCAATGCTCCTTCATGCTAGCCGCTGTTAAGGGTATTTGAGGCACATCATCTCTCTTAATGCCTAGGATAATAAATTTGTTATATTTGTTTTACACGGGGAAAGTAAGGTTCAGAGAGGCTAAATGATCTGTCTGAGGGCACACAGCTGGCAGGGGCCAGCGCTGAGAGACGTGACAATCAAATACGTCTCCGTGCGCATGTGCTCTCTTTCTCTTGAGCTCCTAGGGCCCTTCTTCTGCCTCTGTAACTTGTTTCCTGAGCCCACGCAGCCCAGATGGCTCACTTTTTCTACCTCAGGTTTTTTAAATAAACTTTTTGCTTGTATTTGGGGAAGGAGGCTGTCTCTAGAGATGGCCAAATAGCCCCTGGGGAGGCAAGATGGACCTCTGTTGAGAAACCACTGCTCACACTGCTTATTGAAGTTTGGGTTTGGGGGTTTTTTGCTCTTTTTTTCTCCATTTTGAAGCTCTTCTTGTTTTTCTCCCCAGGCCCTGTCTCAAAGGGACCCACCTCACAACAACTTCTTCTTTTTCGATGGTATGAAGGGAAATGGGATCGTGGAGTGCCTCGGCCCCAAGTGAGTCCCAGACGTGGCAGCCCCGAAGATGCTGAGCCCCAGCACGCCTGCATGTGTCCCCTGTGCCCTGCCCCCACGAGGGCCTCTCCAGGCGAGAGGAGAGTGAAGTCCCCATTCACACCCATTTCCTGCGAATGATGAGGTTGTGCAGATGTGCTCCTTGCAAGCGCCAGCAGCTGCTCCATGTCGGGGCGGAGGGCCTGGCTGCGTCCATCCCTCCCCGCTCAGGACTGTGCGCCAGCTCCAGGCCTGCCAGCACCCAAGTGGCGATCACCTGAGAGTGCCCTCTGACGCCTCTCTGCCCTCGTGCCGTCACGGTGTCACTGGTCCCCTGGGGCACTGCTGGTGATGCCTGCCAGGAACCAGCACGCCTGGTTGCTTAGGAGCCTCTCGCCACCTCGGACTTACTCCCCGCCTGAGGTCACACAGAGAGGCATGTGGCCTCAGGCGGGGAGGAAAGCCCGGGCCCGGCGCAGCGCTAATGGGACCGCAGTTCCAGACGCAGACGGGTGCCCTGAGAGGAAAACCATGGCAGGCGGGATGCATTTCCTCCAAAGCTGAGATCCTGCAAAACAACAGGTGGCATCTGGTGCGCTGTTCCTGCGTTTTAGTCGAGGATTAGTGAGTTCCAGCCTGGGTTGTGGAACGGAGGGAATGGTACCAGGTCCCCTCGGGCATTAGGGCGAGACCTTGCAAGTTGAAAATTGGGAAGAAACTTTGTTTTAAAAGGCAGGTGCCTGAGTCCTACCCCCTGGGGATTCCGACGTGTTGTGTCGTGTCGGGGCCACACGCCGGGAGGGAGGAGCTCTGGTGCGGCGCTGGAGACCCTTGTATTAAGGGCTGTGTCTGTCCTTCCTCCACCCCCTGAATGGCAGCTGTTTGTGTGGGATTTTTTTTATATTTTCTAGATTTCCATGATTCTTTAAAAAGGAATGATAGAAATAAAGTTATTTGCTTTAGGATTTGTTTGTTTTTCTTCCACATTTGAAACTTCCTCTGACGGAGTGATCCCCCCCGACCCCGTTGCCTTTTTAAACCTGAAGAAATGGCACTGGACGCTTGAACCTGCTCCAAGGCGCCCCTCCGACACTGCCGCTGCACTGCTCGTCTGGCGAGTGCAGAGAAGCTTCTGGTTCCAGTTGTCTGCTGAATAATTCAGTTAATAGTGGCTGTTTTCAGTGACAAGAATTACAATGATGGAAAAGGAGTAAAACATGATACTGATGCTACCCTCTGGGTAGCCCCTCTCCGTAGCAGGCATTGTGCTGAGTACAAGGGGGCAACAGCCTCATTTTGAACTTAGTGACACTGAGTAATAGGTCCCAGTCGCATGGCTCGTACGGGCCCAGGCTGTCTTCGGAATCCCATGCTTGTCCTGACTCGGGCATGTGTGCGGATTCCTCCTTGATGTAAAATCCTGTGAGATTTGGGCCTGGCAAGTTGGAGTAAATCATCAGCTCCTTTCCTGTTTTAATCCCATTGCACTCAATGCGAAAGAGCTGGTCTCCGTGAGGCAGAATTCAATCCCCGACCCTCTGGACCACCTCTGCTCCCCCCCTGGGTGAGGTTAGGGGTGCCTTTCTGGAGGGGCCCCTCTCTGTGCCCCGAGGTCAGCGGTTTTAATGCATGAGACTCATGCCCTCTTTGAAATGTTGAGCTAATTCCGTTTACTTTGCCATGTGGGGCCTTGGTCACAAGGGGGCGCAGGCGGGTCTGGATGGATAAAAACAAAATTGTCATGTAGAGTCTTCTCTGAAGCTTCTCAAACTTTTCCACCCTGTACCTCTGGTGGCAGAGATTGAGTCATCCAGAGAGGACCCCTTGGGAATCAGGGAGGGTGTGCTGGAAGCTGCCAGCCCCAGGCAAGAAATGTCTCCCTTCTCGTCTCCTCGAATTTCATCTCCCATATAACACGTCAACGTTATCATAAAATGGATTTCCCTAGTCTCCAGGAAGTGCGCAGCGGTTATCCTGTGGTTTCTAGTACCTCCAGGAGGTGTGGCCTTCCTGGGAAGGAGGATCTGCACAGAAGTGACAGACGTTTGGGGTGCCGGAGCAGCCTTGGGGCGGCCGGGTTTGCCCTCTGCCAACCCCACTTCTGTTGTCTGATTTGTGCAGTTGCCGAACTCCGGTAAGTGCTTAATGTGCCAAAGACAGAACATTGTAGTGGAACAGGTGCTACTCAAAGACGAAAAAAAAGCAAAGGTAAAAAACAGTAAAAAGCTCTCAGCTCCATCCCAGCCCCATGTTCTTACAGTGCGCACCCATTTTGTCAGTTTCCTGCGAGTCTTCTGTAAATATGTGTTTATCTATTGAGGTGTGTCCTATTTTCCCCTTTACGTGTGGGGGAGAGGAAGCTTATGTTGTAGTATTCAGGTCAAAAAGTTTAATAATGCTAACATGTTCACACTACCTGCCTGGTACTTTGCAAAATGCTTATTTATTTATTTACTTAATCCCTACCCGAGGACATGCTTACTGATTTTGGAGAGGGCAAGGAGGGTAGGAGGGAGAGAGAAACACGACGTGAAAGAGAAACATCGATTGGTTACCTCTTGCACGCGCCCCAACCGGGGACCGAACTCACGTCCTAGATGTGTGCCCTGACCGGGAATCAAATCCATGACTTTCTGGTTTACGGGATGACGCTCCGACTAACCAATGGAGCCATACTGGCCAGGGCCCAGCATGTCTGTTCTCTTGCTAAGTTTGAATCCTCACAGCAGCCCCGTGGTGTAGACAGTTGCTGCTGTTGCTGTTGCAACCATATTGCAGAGAAGAAAACAGCTTTACCCAAGAAGTAAGAGGGGGAGTGTGGGCTGATGGGCAAGGCTTTCATGGGAGGCATAGAGTGGCACCGCCTTAGATCTCGACGAGGACAAGGAGACTCGGGCTTTGCCTTCCCAAGGTCCAGAGACTGAGTAGTCGCCACCGAAAACCTCTGGTCAGGCCCGGGTGCTACAGGAAGGCCTTCGGCTGGGCCCCAGCGGGCAGGTGGACCTTGTTTCTAAGCTTGTGTTAAACCCTCAGGCAGCGCACCAGCGTAAGAGTAAAGAGATCCCTCCCCACTGTGTCTCGGCCTGGCAGCTCAACATGGCCACGTAGCTGGAACAGCTGACTTCACAGCTAAACTCTGGATTTCAGGGAGAAATATGAGATGCTTTTTGTATAGGTTGAGCATGTCCACATTCATATCCAGCTCCCAGAGGCCTCACATCCATGGAGAGTGGATCCCTCCAGGCCGTCAGGTTCAAATCCAGACTCTACCACTTAGCTTAGTGACCTTGGGCAAGTGACCTTTTTGTACCTCAGTTGCCCCATCTGTAAAATGGGATGATGGTAGTACATCCCTCTGATACTTGAAAATTAAATGAGTTAATATGTTCTGTTAGCTGCTGTTATGTTTGTAGATAACTTTGTTTGCAACTTGCTTTTAACTCATTGCCTTGGAGATCCTTGTCAGCGCATCAGGCATCAAATTCCAAAACCACAGATGAACCATAAGCTATTTAATCAGGCTGCTGTTGAATGACATTGAGCCTGTTTTCTTTGTAAGCACTTGGGAAAGGCTCTGCAAAGCCAAATGCTCAGGTTACAGAGTATATAAATGCATTTGAGATGGTGATTCCCAAGGCTGCAGGGTGGCAGCCTTGTATGTTTCGTTTGTGGTTTGGATAGACAGTACATGTGCATAGTGCAGAATTGAAAGTTTTACAAAGACACAGTTCTATTTTTTAAGGAAGGACAAAACTATGAACAATGACAAGTAAATCTCTCCAGAAGCAACCATTGCAGGATGGGAGCATTTGGAGGCGGCAAGGGGCATCAGTTCAAGTTTGGGACAGCTTGCCAGAGGCTGCAGTTTGCAGGTGGCAGGGATTTGGCCTCGGGCCTCACTGCCAAGTCCCCTGAGCCTCAGCTCCACCGAGTTGCAGGACTGGTTGGCATGTGGGTTCCAAGGGAGAAGGCCACATAGACGACTGGAACCACCAATCCCAGTCCCTGGGTCTCTGCATCTTTCCATTTAAGCAGGATGGTGGTGTGGAGTGCCCCACTTTCAGTCCTAAATATGAAAAGTTTGGTTCTAATAAAAAGGATACCAGCCCTGTCTGAGGAGCTAAGTTGGTGAAAGCATCGTCCCGATATACCAGGGCTGCAGGTTCAATCCCTGGTCAGGGCACAGACAAGAATCAACCAGTGAGTGCATCAATAAGTGGTACATCAAACCGATCTTTCTCTCCCTCTCTAAAGTCAATTTTAAAAAAGTAAAAGATACTGCCCTGGCTGGTGTGGATCAGTGGGTTGAGCACTAGCCTGTGAACTGAAAGGTTGCTGGTTCGATTCCTAGTCAGGGCACCAGCTGGGGGCGTGTGAGAGGCAACGGATTGATGTTTCCTCTCTCCTTCCCCTCTCTCTAAGAGATAAATAAAGTCTTTAAAAATGCATAAATAAAATTTTTTAAAAGAAGATACCACAGTTCTCTTTGTGTGGTGGAGTAAGTTTCTAAGAAACACCCCCCCATCCCCAATAACTAAATTCTAGACAATACAAAAAAAGTACAAAAAAACCCCCAAACCCACCAAAACCCCACCAAAAAACTATTGGATGGCTCTGAAGAGTGGACAAAGGCAGGTGGGTTTGGGAGGGGAGCTGGAAGAGCCCAGGACAGGATGAGTGTCCTGGCGGGGGCGGGGGCTGTCCCACCATGTTCGCCTGAGGCACAGCATCAGGGAGCTGGGAGGCACAGCATCAGGGAGCAGGGAGGCAGGACCAGCCGTCCTGCTTGCTTGAGAACCAGAGAGAGTACCCACAGCTACAGGGAAGGCGAGTGCCAAGGAAGGACACCCCCGAGTCCTGTGTGTAAATGCAGCCCCAGACTCCTGCTGACTTTTGGACTGAATGCGTGGGGCTGGCACAGCAGGGCTGACACGAGCCATATCTGAGCTGTCCCCTACTGCAACAGATTGGGTCCCACAAGCAAAAATGTCCCCTAAAACAAAACCAGTCACATCCTTTGGAGGATATATCAAAATCCAGAATGTCTACAACACGACCTTCATAATATTCAGGATACAACCCAAAATTACCCAACAGCATATAGTGCATGGGATCAAGGACGCATGAGCTGTTCTCAAGGGAAAAGACAAGATGACAGAGGACCCAAGTGTTGGAATTAGACAAGGACTTTAAAGCAGTTATTACAACTATGCTCATCGAGGTAAAAAGGTGTAATGACAAATAGGAAGTATTAGCAGATAAATAATGGATGGTCTAGGACTGTGAAATACAGTATCTGCAATTTTATTTTTTGGTTTTTAATCCTCACCTGAGGACATTTTTTTTTTTCATTGCTTTTAGAGGGAGGCAGGGAGGGAGAGAGAAACATCGATCGGTTGCCTTCGTACGTGCCCTGACTGGGGATCATGCACGCAGGACCGGGCATCAAACCTGCAACCTTTCAGTAACAGGATGACGTTCCTACCAACTGAGCCACATGGGCCAGTACCTGCAGTTTTAAAAACTCACGGGTAGACTTAAGATAATAGCAGCATGGAGAAAGAGAAGGGGTTGCATCAAGTGGAGAGAGATTCATAGAAATTATCCAATTTAAGAGGAAAAGTTGTTTTTTTTTTAATAAATAACAAGAGCTTCCAGGACTCATGAGACACTCTCAAGAGGTCTGATATACATGTAATTGGGGTCCCAGAAAGAGGAGAGAAAGTGGGAAAGAAAAAAAAAATATTTGAGTAAGTAATGGCCCCAAACTTCTGGAATTTGGTGAAAGGCATAACTGCATAGATTTGAAAAGCTCAGTGAATCACAAACAGGGTAAATGTGTGTGTGGGGAGGAATAATAGTCAACGTGAAAATCAAAATGAAGGACAAAATTTTGAAAGCAGCCTGACAAAAACAATACATTACAAACAGAGGAGCTGCAATTCAAATGATCCTGCGTTTCTTG